GTGCTGTGTTTGGTGAAGTTGTACCAAAATCGACATTCGGATGTCACACCGACGGCTTATACCACTTTTAGTATACTGGGAGGAACGATTTTGTGTGGTAAATCTCGTGTCGCAAAACATTTAATTGGGTTTTTGGATGTGGAAATGACGATTCCAGAAATTAATATCTCTTACAACAATTACTTTTCGAGTTCTTGAATTATATAAAAATTACGATTACGATAAAAATTACGATTTTTCCAATTATTTTGCGCCACAAGAAGATATTTTTTTGTTAGATCGGTTAAAATGCTCTACGACGAGTGGTTTTTGAGATATTAAACTATTCTAAGCCTCAAATTCAAGGCCAAAACTCTATTCCAGATTTACATTGTCGACAAAAAAATTTGATAAATTCGTTAAAATCAAAAATCTTCACACTTTCGAAGACCAAAATGTGATAATTATCATATTCTAGGCACACTTGGGATTTTGTTCGAGAGTCATTTCATCGTTGTCGTTCTTGTAAGCGTCGTCTATTTCGCATTGTCGGTTTACTTATTTTTGAACATTTATTCCTTCGGTGCTGCTCGTGATGTTTTGCGACGCTTTTTTCTTCGACGGCGAGGCTACGAAGACTCAAATCCTGTCCCAACACCAAACAAAGCGCGTTGGTGGTTATTGTTAATTGCAAAAACCATCAATATTTTGTTATTCACATTGGGACTAACTCTGGTACTCACACACAAAACCGATTTTGGGACTTTTCTTTTACTAATTTTAGCAGGCAATGCTATACTATACACTCTGATGTATACAATCATGAAGGTTGTTCCCCCAATTGTGATTTTTTTCTTTAATTTGKATTTTTTTAGTTAATTTATTGTGAGTGTGGATTAACTTCCATTCAAGGAGTGATTTATGGGGTTCTAGCAGTGGCAACTTGGATCCCAGCTGGAGTGTTCTTCTTCAACCAGAGCTCAAAATGGACTGTGAGTTCTTGAAAGTCCCAAAGACAAACTAATATTTTTTTTTCAGGAAAGTCCAGCCCAATCCCGCCAACTCAACCAACAATGCATCTTCGCGGACTTCTTCGACAGTCACGACCTCTGGCACTTCCTCAGCTCTTTAGCACTTTATTTCACTTTCATGTTCTTGTTATGTGTCGACGATAACCTTTCCACAAGTCGCACAGATATTCCTTTATTCTAAAATAAATAAAAAATTTGTGATATTTTATCTGGAGTTAAAATCAAATAACCCAGGTAGTATCTAACACCAGGCGTGCTTTTTTCCAATCTTTCATATATCAAATTCTAATGAGTTATTAGTTCAAATTACTAAAGTATCCTCCTACTTCTTTTTCACAAGTGAAATTAATACTTTCAAAGTGGTTGCTTAAAATTTCGAGGAAATTCTAAAAGGCACATTTATTAAGAACAAAAATAACAAAAATGTCATCCACATACCTTGACTAAACTCTAGGAAAATATTCCAGCTGATTTTCTAAATCCTTTTCAAATTGGCTCATGAAAAGGTCAGCTAAGAAAGGTGACCCATTGCCGTACCTTCTTGCTGTTCGAAAAAATTCCCCGAAAATTGAAAGTTTTTTTGCTTCATGCAAAGTTCTGTGAGTCGAATATATTCGTTGATAACTTGCTGATCCAAATTGTTTTGGAGCAACAAGTCTTTTAAGTAGCTTAAAGTTTGTGGAATCGGAACACTTGGAAAAAGAGAGCTAACATCAAACGAAACTAATAACTCATTTTCATGCAGTGCAATATTTTTGATCTTATTTATAAATTCTAAAGAATTTTTAACTGAAAAACTAGGCTGCTGAAGTGGTAAGCTATTAAATTCGTTAGTTAACCATTTTGAAACCTTTGAAGTTGGAGCGTCAATTGCTGAAACAATTGGACGGACTGACTTACCAGATTTGTGAATTTTGGAAAGACAATAAAGTTTAGGAACAATTGGGTTAGAAACATGCAATTTTCTTATAAGCTCAGGAGTAACTTCTCTAATCATTTTTGGCAAAGGGTTTTTCGAAATAATTTTGTAGGGACCATGCTCATTAGGTGGTTAACCCGATCATAATAATCCTTTTTGTCAAGAATAACAACCTTATTACCTTTGTCTGCTTTAACAGAAAAACAATCTTTCGTCCGCAAACTTTTAATGATTTTAAAATAGTCATTGTTGTAAAAAGTTTTTTGACTGTTTAATTTTTTTGAAATTACTTGTCTACAAGGCTACTCTCACAAACTGTTTTAAAACGCTGAATAGAAGATTCTATCCCGGCAATGACCTCCTCAACAGCTGGTCGAGAATCCTGTAGACCAAATTTCAAACCTTTGTTCAAAAGATTAAGTTTTTTATAAGAAAACGCTTGGGAAAAATGATTTTCAACAATAACTTTCGTAGGAACACACTCCCTCAATCACAAGAGGTTTGAGTAAAATTTTCAAAAATCTTGACTTCTAAGTTGTTTACAACTCTGGCAGAAGTCTCAAAAGTTTTCTTGGTAATCCTAAAGATAAAGTAGGACCATTAGAAAAATCGGGGATTTATGAAATTAATTGTAAAGATTGTGAACAAAAATATATTGGGCAAACACGTAGAACACAGCTCATTTAAGATTATACAGATTTGAAAAATCAAGTGTGGCCCAACATATTTTTGAAAAAGACCATAAAATCAATGAAACTAATGTAAAAAATATTAGAGTTGTCAATAATTGTAAATTTCTTGACGCTTTCGAGAGTCTTGAAATATTTAAAAATTGAGATAAGCTTATGAATTCAGACAACAACCCCATTTTCTCTCCCTTTTCTCCCCACTACTCGTTAGTTGGGGGTAGGGAAAGTGAAAGTCGGAAAAATTAGTATATAAAGCATTACCATTGTTAAATTGGTTTTATTCTCATCTGAGGATGCCCACTTTGTGGTTGAAACGCGTTGTGTTTGAAATAAAAGTTTGGTGTGACGGGTTTAATCGTGTTTTTGTTCGTCGTTTCCATACCAAGAGGATCCCATAAGAAGTAGCGACTTATTCTGAATTTACCGCTTAAATGTGTAATCAGTGCGCAAGTTAAAAGTTGTTTTTCGAATCAGCTGATACCATAGCCGTCTCATTGTTTGAAATGAAAGTGATAATTTGTTCTGTGGTGATTATTGATTACTAGGAGAGAAAAACAACTTCACAACTTTTCAATAAACTAAATAATGGTATCTTTTACTGCTAGTAGTGCAAAAAGAATTATTAATTACATTACTGTGACAAACTATTAATTCATAGGCCTTTTTCATTTATTCACTATTTTCAATTTATCAATAATTAAAAAAAAACTGTTCTGAAATACTGAATTTTAGTTTGTATTTCCCTGAACTAGTGTATTTATAAATAGAGGATAACATGTGTGTGTGTGTGAATGAATTCCTACTTTTATCATTCTCATTGATCACAAAAGCGCAGGGTAAAAAGTTGTTTTCTTTGTGATAACTGTGCCTCTGGTTTAATTAAACACCAATGTTAAAATTGCAAGATAGAATGTAATGAAATATTTGTATGAAATAATCTCGCAACCATGGTTAAAAGTTGGTTCTTTGTGGTAACTGTGCCTTTGGTTCTGTGTTCAGAACCCAACATTGTTGTGGTACCGAAATTTGGGAGTGTGTCACAAGTGATGGAATTCACATTGAATAACACCATCAAATATTTGCTTCTTTTCCACCCTGATAACACCTCCAATCCTTACTCCATCAAAGCTTGGAGTGATTCATCGTCACAATATAACCCAATTTTGATCGTTGTTAATCAAGGAATGGACACTTTGTCATGGTCGGTACCATTTTCCATCAATCAAACCGAAGTTTACTATAACACTTCCCGGACTTTGTGCGACTCAAATATCAAAAATTT